ACAGGGTTGTTCTCTCCTATGTTGTGTCATGTAAAGGATTCCCGTGGTTTTGGTGGGGGCAGGCTGTGTTTGAGCAGGTTTCAACTATTTTAAGCACCTTTGGCCATGCTGGGGTTCACACTGGAAGATTCAGTCTTACCAGAGAGTAAATTTTACTCTCCCATCAGATGCAATGTGTACTGTGAACGTTGGAAATGCATTTTGTCTTGGTTAATAGCATCAGAATTAATAAACTGGAAAGCCGCTCTCCATCACCAATGCTGTGGTCCAGCCTCGGCGTACCTGTACATCCTTCCTCTTCATTAACTGGAAATTGTTTCAAGTGCTGCGAATGGTTTCCCCAACTTTGTAATTGCATCAGAAAAAAAGTACAATAAAAGCAACAAAATCTTGGTGCCCTCTGAGCGCCTTTTGCCCCAAAAATCTGTTTTAGCCGGCCTGCTTCAGGATGCCCATGGGCAGCATAAGCGGCTGTAGTTTCTTTTTCTCTGCAGCTCCTTTTGCAGGATTTATACCTAAAAAAAAAAAAAAAACCAAAACACAACAATGGTGGGTAGACCTAAAGTAACCAGTCCTTCTGCACCTTCATTGTGTTTTCCCCCTTTATCTCTTCATTTATCTGAAACTGGCTGGCACTAGGCTTTTGTGATAGGTACGTGTAAACCTCACACTTCTCAGGTGCCCTCTTTCTTCTTTCTTTCCCTGCGCTTTTCTGGCTCCTGTCCTCCCACTCCCAGGAAATATTTGAAAGATAATTTGGCATATTTTCTGCCACCTTCACATATCTCCCTGACCGTGTTTTCTTAGCTGGAAGATAGCTTTTCAACGTATATATGTAATCCTTTTCACCTAGACATGTGAGGAATTCCAGTCTCTTCCAGTGGGAGTTTTCAGGAAGGTTTAGGTTAAATGGGCCAATAAGGCAATAGCATGTAGCAGAAGATCTCACCCTCTAAAGACATTATTTTCTGCCACCTTCACATATCTCCCTGACCGTGTTTTCTTAGCTGGAAGATAGCTTTTCAACGTATATATGTAATCCTTTTCACCTAGACATGTGAGGAATTCCAGTCTCTTCCAGTGGGAGTTTTCAGGAAGGTTTAGGTTAAATGGGCCAATAAGGCAATAGCATGTAGCAGAAGATCTCACCCTCTAAAGACATCTCTTCTCTTCCAGTGGGAGTTTTCAGGAAGGTTTAGGTTAAATGGGCCAATAAGGCAATACCCCCCCCCCCCCGGAAAATATATCAGAATATCTAGCTGTCAAAGAATTTAAACAATAATACCTGATCTGAAGGCTAGAGTGCAGGGCTTTTGAAAACAAAGATTGTAATCTCTCTGGGGTGTATCCAGGGACCGATGGCGCTGAAGTCAGGTGTCCTGAGCAGCACACTGCCGTGGGGACGCTGCTCCGGCTTGGTGGGACTTATTTCACCCGTGGATTTTCCCTGGCGCTTTCGTTGTGGCTATAGCGTCTTTATCGTGGAGGCAAACGAGACAGCAAGCCGAGCTTGGCTTACATCTCTTTAAATCTTGGTGGTGGTGACTGAGCTCTTCTCCTGCCGCGTGGGAGTGGGGTGGGAGAGCTCAGCACCCCCTTCTGCTGGGGCAGCCACCATCCCCTAGGAACTCTTGTTGCAGCAGTCAGGACTAGGATGTCTCCCAGCTGATTTTAGCTGACTAGCGGTGTTGTCAAAGGTCCCTGTCACAGCTCCTGAGAGAATTTAAGGAGATGCCTGTTGTGAAAAGGAGAATGAGCTGTATGGGGTGCCTTAGGCTGGAAGCCAGCTGGGTTATGAGCCCAACCCTAAAGCCGCACTGATGTGTCTTGTAGAAAAAGAGGTCAAGGATCCCTAGAAATAAGATCGTTTCCAACACCTTAAGACCCAGGGTTTTCAGAAGTGGGTACCTACGGGTGGCCTTAGCCTGTACTTCAGCAGTTAGGATCACAGCAGGGAG